TATAATCAAGACATATATGGCTATCATAACAAACATTAGAAATAGCCTAAAATAAGACATTTTTGAAAGTGTGGCAAAAAATTATTAACTTTTTAACCAGTACGTTTGACTCAAAATTAATTTACTGAATCTAATGTTGATGAAACAACTCCCTTTTGAGTTATGCACTAGTTTCTCTCAGGCAGGGTTGTCTCATTCTGAAGAATTCTCCTTATTTTTGACTAGAGAAAACTAACAACTCTCTGCCTTTTATTAACAAAGTTTTATCATGTTCATTTATTTACTGTGTAGGTGTACAAGAGGGGGCACTCTGGAGGTCAGAGGACAACTTGCCGGAGCTGGTCTGTTCTTTACCACATGGATTTGGGAATTGAACTTGGTTCCTAATTTTTGCTAACAAGCCCTTTAAACCTCTGAGGTATATCACCAGATCAGGGAGTCCTTTGATGGTGGGTGGTGGTGGTGTTTAACTACTTAAGACAATATCTCGTGTATCTGAGGCTGGGCTTGAACTCCTAAGTAGTTCAGGAAAGATGCTTTGGACTTCCCCATCCTCCTGCAGGGAATACAGGTGTGTGCCAACACACCCAGTGTGGTGCCAGGCACCCAAACAGCTTCTGTGCATTCCAGGCGATAAGGTATCTTTTCCAAGCAGGACTTCTGAAGTCCACTGGAAGAATACAAGCCTAGAAGATGAGTGTATCTTTTATTTTATGTAATTTGCAATCTGTTCAATTATTTAGTTGCTGTAATCTAGTAGGCAGTGAATGTTTGTTAGCTTTTTTTTGTTTGGTTTGGTTCTGAATGACATAACAGGCTACTTCCAATGTAAACATATACTATAATTTAAAATCTGTCACAATTCAGAGGGCCCTGTGTACTCTTGTGCTCCCTCTACTGCCTCAGAGAAAACATTCATAGCCAAGACCCCAGTACACTCAGTCCTCAGCAGTTTCCATAATTGGTGAAACAAGGCTCTTCAAGGATGGAGTACTGCTTCTCTCATGCATATGTATGTGGTCACCCTTTAAATATGAGGGCTAGTTTTAGGGTCCCTCTGAGACACCCAAATCTTATGCTGTGCTGTAGTATTTGGATACCATGTACTCACCTCCTATTACCTGCTTTACATCATGAATAATTTGAGTTTACAGTATAACTCTACGTTATCAGTAACCTCTAGGTTACTCACAACACCTAGTACAATGGAAATACTCTTCATTGTGTATTGTGCTTGGAATAATGATGAGGGAAAAGTCTACCCGTATTCAGTACAGATGACTTTTTAAAATACACATATTTTTTTCCTACCAGAAGCTGATTAAATTTGAGGATGTGCAGGTCCACGTGCAATGTGATTTTTTTTTATTGGTAAAATTAATCGTATAAAGGTAATTCACTGGAGAATTAAGTTCTATATGTGAGACCAAATATACCCAGGCAGAGTCCCAAAGAACAGACCAGTGTTCTTCATGCTGGGATGTGCCAGTCTTCAGCAGCTAGCTGGAAGGCAGACTTTGCCTGCCTATCGTGGGGTAAGGATACTTGACTCTGAAAGTCTAAAGTCCCCCTGATGGTGGTGCTGCAGCAGCTGCTGCTACGTGAACTACCACGCTTTTAAATGCACAAGTGTGATGAAAGAGCCTTGTGACTTAAGTAGTTGCTAGATCTTTTTAACCTTTCAAGAGTAGACAGGACAAAATCAGTAAAACAGAGAGAAGGTGAGGTGGAGACATAGCTTGAGACTTGAGAGCACTTGTTGTAGGATAGGGAGGTCCTGAGCGTGGACCTCAACACTGCTTACAGCTATGCAGCTCACAGATGAGTGTGGGCCTCAGCACTGTTTACAGCTATGCAGCTCACAGATGAGTGTGGGCCTCAGCACTGTTTACAGCTGCATATCCCATGGACATGTAACCTCAGCTTGGAGGGAGAAGAGAGACAGGAGGCAAAGACTAGGTTTGTTGGCTTCCAGGCTAGTCCAGAAAATATGACCCTTAACTTCAGGTAGAGATCTTGTCCCAAAGGAATAATCAAAAAGTGATAAGAGGACTCTCTTTCTCTCTCTCTCTCTCTCTCTCTCTCTCTCTCTCTCTCTCTCTCTCACACACACACACACACACACACACACACACACACAGAGGTTAGTACCTTCTATTTAGTTTTAAATATATTTAATATATATTAATACATCTTATATTAATATGTTTAAAATATATATATCTTTACTATATATCTTTAAAAATAAATCAAATAAGGCACTAAATTTTTTTAACATTAAATAATACATAACACAGATTAGCAGTCAGGCTCGGGGGGGGCCTCCTTCCTCAATTTTACTATAAGGCTTGACCAAGTCTTGTACAAATATAATATCAGATTTGGGTTTAGGAACTGGTGCTATACAACTACCACCTTGAGAACCATGTTCTTTTTCCACTGAGGTTTGATTTGCATGAGAACTTTTGCTTTTAAAGAACCTCTCTTGTTACGTCTTGGATGGTACACTTGATATTTTGTCTTCAGGAAAGGAAACATCTCAGTACTCAAGTAATGAAAATGCTCCATGGACGTTGTTTGTGTTGGACCTCTCGGGAAGCAATAGCTGGTGTGTGTGTGTGTGTGTGTGTGTGTGTGACAGTTTATGGCTTTAATCTCAATAGCTAGGAAAGTAAACAACACATTTCTTATTAATTATTTTTACTGTGTGGATAATGTATACATTTAGCTTTCTTCGGGGAACATTTAAATTAATCGACTAAGTCTAATATGAATTATGTGTTTTAATATGTTTAAGGTTGTTAAAATAATGCAAATTAACTGCTTGCACCAACGTAATAATTACAATATTAGGGTTTTTTCCCCCTTGAAAATTCTCTAAATGTAAAATGTCTAAAAATAGAGTGGAGGTGGATTGGACAGTTTGCAGATTATGAGCTGGAAGAAAAATATCTCGGTTACGCCAAAAACATGGCAACCAATATTTTCTGTTATAAAAATATTTTAGATTAAATTTGTTTTTTTTTTAAATGAAAGCTGTCTGCAACTGAAGTGAATAACAGAAGCTTTGTCGGTTTCACAGGCCAGCAGTTAACAATACCTGTAGCACAAAGCAGATGCCTTTTCCACAGGCAGGCAGCAAGCTTCTGCTCCATTTCAAAGACAGCTTTACCAAGATGGAGCGAAAGACACCCACCGGTCAGTTAAGCTCTGAACTCTTAACCTTCACCTGGATAAAGCTGAATGGAAAACAAAACTAGACAGAGCATCAACAGGACACTCGCGTTAACTGTCCACTAGAGGCTGTAAGGAGACCGACAATGTCACTTTAGCATATGAAGTCTAACAACCACGGATCTTCAAGTGAACAACACAGTTATGGGGGAGTGGGGGCGGGGGGTGAGAGGGAACAGTTGTAGTTCTATTTAAGCAGCCGTGGATATGTGCACGGTATTTCAAAATCTGAGAATAGATGTGTGTCCTACACACCACACAACACACACACACACACACACACTCCGCGGCCTTTTTTTTTTTTTTTTTTTTAACTTCTGGAGTGCTGGGTCCACCATCCAGTAGTTTAAAAGCTCACACATTTCTCTTGGTGATTCGGGACGCTGCTTCAGACAGTGACTAACTGTTAGGTCATAAGTAGACGGAGCCAAAAGGTCTCTCAAATCCGGCTTACAGTCAATAGTGGTGGCTTCCAGCGAGACGAAGGGATCGAGTTTCCAGGTTCTTAGTTCTAAGCACCTGAAAGAGGTCAGATGCTGGCCTGAGACCTACTGGTCTTCGAGAATTATCTGCAGCAAAGGGAACGCGGTGCCGAGCGACCCACGTGGGGATGTGCCTGCTCTTCCTTCGGGTGCCACACCTGTTGGCAAGGTGCACTCCTTCAGAGAAGATTCCTTCCCATCGAGCTCACACCAGGCTGAGGTGTAGCCGGAGGGGGCGGGTGAGGACTCCATGTCTACGTTTAACCAACGGGACAAGGAGTGGGGGAAGTTCCTGTGCCTTGGATTCCCGGGAACCGCCGTCGACTGCCCAGTGCACAGGTTATCTCACTTGCGATGAAATGAATTATCCACAGTTAGCTGTGAGGAGTTGAGCAGGTCGGTTACCAGGGTTAGAGCTGAGACGTTCGATGCTCACAGCAGATTTCGAGACCAGCAGACTTTGAAAGGAGGGTCCGGGGGTCGCCAGCTTGTCCAGGCAGGAAGGTGAGGGTGCGGGTGCAAGCTGGGGAAGCCTGAGAACTTTCCTGAGTTGCAACCCAAGGCAGTAGGCGCGGGCCTAGCATCGGGCGGCGAAGGACTGGCGGGCTGGAGGGTTAACTGCGAGGATACAATGAGTCCTCTTAGATGCTCACCGGGGGCACCAAGGGCACTTCGTAATTAGAATCAGCCGACTTCCCCGCCCCCTTGGGTATTTTACCAGGTGGGAGCCAAAGCCTGACACCCGTTGCTGTGAGTGTCCCAGGTTGCCCGAGTTGCACCCTGCACTCACCCTGTCCCCTCCAACTAGGTTGCAGGGAGCCGGGGAGGCGCGCGAGCACCGATCGGTCACCACTCCAATGACCTCATCGCCCCAACTTCCCCGCCCCTTTCTCAAACCTGGAAGGCATAGTCCCCTCGGGTCGGTGTCCGGGATCCGGAGCCGCAATTGGGGAGAGAAACCCGGCCTCCCCTGGAGCTAGCGCTGCTCCAGCCAGGGTGCATAGAAGGGTTAAGGGCGCGGGCCGGCAGCCGCGCCGTGCGCTCGCCGTGCTCTGTGCGGCTCGCCGGGCCGCCTGCCAGAGGGTGCCTCCCCCCCCCCCCCCCCCCTGAAGTCGGATCCTTGAGCTGCGGCGGCGGCAGCCAACTGCTCCATATTTGGCTTCTATTACACATTTACATACTGGAGCGAGCGAGCGAGCGCGAGAGAGAGCGCGAGGGAGGGAGGGCGGGCGGAGGGAGGAGGGAGGGGAGGGGGGGAGGAGGAGGAGGAGAGAGCAGAGTATACCGCAGACATCATTTCTACTACAGTGGAGGAGCCGTACAGGACCTGTTTCACTGCAGGGGGATCCAAAACAAGCCCTGTGGAGCCGCAGCTAGAGCTACAGCAGCCGCAGGACACTGTGTCTCTCCCTCTGTCCCCCCTTCCCCACGCAACCCCAGATCCATTTACACTTTACAGTAAGTGGCTATTTTTTTTTCCTCCTCTGATTCTTTCTCTCCCCCTCCCCCTCCCCCCGATTTAGATTAAAATCACCTCCTCTCGCACCCCCAAGCTGCTCTCTCCGGAGAGGGGCCAAAGAACATCCAGCATACACCCCCCCTCCCCCAGTCTCAATGGGCTGCACGGAAAACAGCTGGAAGAGGAGCGGAGGAAACCGACGCGTCCGTGTGTGTGTGTGTGTGTGTGTGTGTGTGTGTGTGTGCAGGCGCGCGCGCGAGTGTATGTGTGACTATGTGTACATACACCAGTGCCCGGCTCCAGCCTCCCGGCTCGGGACCCCCTCTGGGAGCACGAGCGGCTAGCAAGGGGAGCAGCTAGGGGCTGGGTGGGCGGCCGCCAGGAGAGGGGGGCGCGCCCGGGCGGGGGGCGCGGGTGGGGAGAACGGCGGCGCCCCTCTCCGGCTGCCGCTGGTCCGGCGGCGGCGAGCGCATAGAGCCCTGTCCTCCTCCTTCCGTGTGGCGAAGGGGGAGGCGGCAGGCGCGGAGGGTCGCGCTGCCCTCTTCGCTCCTCTAGTCCCCCTCCCGGGTGGGGGCGGTGAGCGCTGCGGGGGCTCGAGGGAGGGCTGGGCTTCCCCGCCCGGGGTCGCCTAGCTTGAGAGAGGCAACCCCGAGCTTGGGGTCTCCCCGCCCAGGCCAGCCTCTCGGGGCCAGGAGGGGACCTAGAGGGGACTTTGCGCGAGGCTGGGGGCGCGGAGAGGCGGCGACTCAAGGGGCAAGGGAGCGCGGGCCATCGCAGCGCAGCGGGAGAGGCGGCGGGGACCGGCCCTAGCTGCAGCCGCCACCGCCGCCCTGTTGGTGCGGCCGCTTCCTGATCCAGAGCAGCAGCAGCAGCCGCCGCCGCCGCCAGAGCTGGAGCCGGGAGCCCGCGAGCGCCCCGGCTCGGCCCGGCGTCCCTGCCGGCACCCGCGGCAGTAGCGGAGGAGCTGCGGGCGCTGCCCTGCGCCGGGACTGCTCTGCTGCGCGGCGACAGGGAGGGTGAATGAAGACGGGAGGAGGGGAAGGAGGAGGTGGCGGCGGAGGAGGCGCTGCGGGGATTGGGATGTGCCCCGGAGCCCCGCGGCTCGTTCACTCGGGGCCCGAGACGCCGCCACTGCCGGGGCTGCCACCGCCGCCACCGCCGCCTCCTACGTGGTTGCAGCCGAGCGCGCAGGCCGGTCCCGCAGGGGGCAGGGAAGGGGCCGGACGGGCGGAGCGAGAGGTGAGGCGGGGTCGGAGAGGAGGGAGTAAGTGCGTGTGAGTGTGGAGGTGTGTGTGTGTGTGTGTGTGTGTGTGTGTGTGTGTGTGTTCGCGCGCCGGGCGGGGGCCAGGACCCTCGCGATGTGGAGGGGAGGGGGTCCACGGTGGTCCCTTGGCTGACTCTGCAGCGCTTCGACCTCTCTTTAGCCATCTCCTTCAACTCTGTGGCTTGTGCGCTTTCATTTTATTTCAGACCACGTAGAGAGCTGACTGCAAGCGGTGAAACAATTCAGGTTTTCTAGGGAGATTGAGCAAGGACCTTAGTGGTGGTGGGGGGTGGTGGTGGAAGTAGGGTGCTGATCTAGACTCTGCCAGGGGCGCGGGGGGTGGGGGTGGGGGTGGGGAGGAGGATCAGGGTTCTAAGACGCTGGGGTTTTAGTTCGATCCAGATCCCGTGGCTGTCCTGTTTTGTTTTGCTTTCTTGCTGTATAATTCTACAGATAAGAGGGTAATATAAATACTTGGGAAGGTTGGGAAATTGCTGAAGAGTAGTAAGGGCGAAAAAAAAAAAGCCAGTCGGAAGCTGGTTATATAATGCGCTATGTGGCTAACAAGAAAGGCAAGCTATTTTTATTTTGTTTACCGTATGTTGTGCAGTAGAAACTCCTCCAAACTGGTTCTGTCCCCGAAGAGATTTCTTAGTTTGTCAGAGAGAGACACACACACAGAATACAATTAGTAAAATTAGAAGACCCCACAGCACCTACAGAATAAAAAGTAATGTTTTAGAGTTCTCACTTCACATCCTGCCTGGCATGCAGGGGAATGTGTGTATGCCCTATGTTTCCCTGTAGCAACCTAGTAGTGTCATCTCAGTGACATTTTCGTTTTATAATGCGAGCTCTTCTTAATATTTAAACAGCATTGCTATAGATTGTAGGCAACAAGGTAGTTACATGCTGGGTATTTTTAGGCGCAGCTGGTTACTTTTTGCAATAGTGTTTGCTAAACCATTTCTGTTTGGCTTTTTTTTTTTTTTTAAGAGTCCTGCCATTCCTAGAAGCCCCAGTTAAGCCTACCCTCTGGTTTACTGATGGTGGGTGAGTAGCTAAGACAGTTTGATAGCCGAGGGTTTCATTATTTTATTTTATTTTATTTTATTTTATTTTATTTTATTTTATTTTTGAATGAAGCTTATGCCAGCGGAAGCTAGAGGTAGCCACCAGATAGAAGAAAAACATGCGCAAGAACTCTTGGAAAGGGATTGCACCATAACAGCTTAGCCGTGGCGTTAAATCTCCTCTGATTGTCCTCTAACTGGCCACGCATCAGTCAATATTTTAGCAGCTTTGCAAATAAATGGGCTTGAATGCCACCTTCCACATAAAGCCGAGGCTGGAAAGCCTTCTGCCTGTCTGCCTCTCTCATCATAGATACTGTCGGTGGTGTTAGTTTTCTGTACACTTACTCCAGCCCTGATCACTCATGTAATTAGATCAGGCTGCCATGGCAACAGACAGTGCTCCTTGGCCCATTCAGGTGGGTTTGCCTGAACTACTCCAAGTGTTTTATGCACAGTATTTGAGCTGCCCGAACAGGAGAGGAGAGACTTCACTGTTTCAATTGCGTCTTCTTTCAGTCATCTGAACAGGAGACACTGAATGAGCCTTCTAGCTACTTAGCTTTTCTAAAGGAAACCAACACACTGTTCCTACTGGGTACAATATGTAAATGCATCTCCCCAGACAGAGAAAGGAGCCTGACAATCCTGCTGGTGTTTATTGTGAGCAGATCAACAAGTATTTGATACTTGCTAGAAACCTTTCAGAGCTGACTAAAGCAACATTTCTTTTGCAGTCTAGAGCCTTTGGCCTTGCAGACACTTAACCCTTTCAAGTATGAGAGAACAGCACACTCGTGCTTTATAATTAAAGTTGCTGACAGTGCTGGCTGGCTTTCTAGATGGTTTACAAAAAGGAGATGACTTATTTGGAAAGCCTATCCCCACTGTTACATTTTTAAACTTTACAGTCTACATTATAAAAACAGATACTGACAGTAGGCAGGCATTCTGAATATTATCTTCCTTAATTTGGATCTGTTGCTCCTGATCTTTGATGCTCTTCAGAAGTAATTGAAAATATTTTTTTGCAGCTAAGTTAGAGATGATGCAAGCCAGTCTATTGCATAGAGCTTTGCACGTGAAGCAGTCTGTATGGTACTTAAGAGTATAAGTTAATGAACATCTAGAAAGCTGCAGTCCAGTGTTTATATTTGGGCACCACCTTAAGCCTACTAAGGCCAGAAAGATTATATTATGACCGAAAAGATAACAGAAAAGCATCTTTAGTTGCTGGAGCCCAACATTGTTCAGACAGTCCAGATGAAGGGGACTATTGTAGGAACGTTGGATGTGACGTGATTTAGTTGTGACCCTGCCAGTCAGTTTATAGTTTTAAGGCCAAAGTAGCTAAATTGGTTAAAATAGAAGAGAGAAAGACATAGAGAGAGACAACCACACACACACAAATCTCTCACCTCTCCTGTGCCAAGACTGACAAAGTTGCCCAATTTTCCTCCCAGGGGGGTTTATGAGTTTCCCCTGGTTACTGAGTCTAGGTGGTGGGTACATTATTGTGGGCTGGTCCTGTTGTATCATTGTGGTTAAAATGAGCTATTATTTCTGAGAGGTGAGTTCATGTGAAACCAGGATCTAAAATAAGAGGACAGAAGTTTTAAGTTTTATACACACTTTGGAGGGCCTCGATTCTATTCTGCAACAGACGGAGACATGGCTTGACTTGAAGTTAAATGTGTGCCTGTGTTTTTCAGTGTACAAATGAGCCCTTGCCAAAATAAATGCGAGAAGTGTCTGTGCTTGATGGAGAACTGGAAAAGGCATCAGACCTCCCCCTCCCCCACCCCCACCCCCATTTCGTTTTAAGAGGGTTTGGCAAGCAATAGTATTTTGTTAAAAATAGCATAAAGAGACTTCAGGCCTCCCAGTTGCCTTTGAGAGAAAGATTAGAGAAAGACTTGAGCCATCAGATTACATATCAAGTAGCAGAAGATGGCCAAAATTTCCAGTGCGCAGAGTCCCAGGAACCAGGACCGTCCAGTGCGATGAAAGTACTAAAAAAACGTTAGTCAACACTCCTATGGCTCCCAGGGCTGGTTGTCCTTAGAGTTTAAGGATTCACATTCCTTTTGTATAATGTGACTTTGTTTTCTCTCCCGTGTTGAAATGTCAAGTGGATTTTGCTCCTGCACATACCTTGTAAGACAGCTTCTCCTGCCAAATAGACTGTAGCAGTCCGCTCTGCTTCCTATTAGGAGTCAGTCAATAAATGTACTTTACCAAAACCCTGAGCTCATGTAAGCAGCTGAGTGTAGGAGTGAATGTTAATTTCTCTCAACTGTAGTCATCTGAAGACTCCGAAAAGCTTAAACACTTGCATATGCAAAGAGCCTTCTCAGGAGACAGTCTGTCATTTTTTAGGGGCTTGGAGTTGACTGACTTACAGGCTTTGTATCTTCTCAGAGTGGCATGCAACGCTGAATGGCTGGCGTGAGAGAGAGAGACTGAGAGAGAGAGAGAGAGAGAGAGAGAGAGAAAGAGAGAGAGAGAGAGAGAGAGTTAGAGTTGAGAGAGGGAGAGAGAATTAATTTAATTGTTTCAAAAAACAGATTTTGATCCTGGTCATCATATTTCCAACCCGAGAAATAGAAGCAGGCGCTTTTCTTGTTTGGTTAAATGTTTGTTATAAGCAGAAAAACTGTAGAAATGTCAGTGGAGGCTACAATCTCTACCTAAGGACTACCATGCAGTGTTTCTTTGGCTTGTTGCTTAAGATTTGAATTTCTGAGTCATCAGTAATACTATTTCAGTTGCATTTAATTTCATTTAGCACAATAAATCCACTCATCCCAGTTCTGTAAGCAGTAACATGAGGATGTGCACATAGGATGCTAGCTTTACATAATTCAAAAAAATATTGGCTGTAAGAATTGTAATTGGATTGAGGTTTTTTTTTTTAATAAATACTTAAAATTACAGAAGAAAAGGAATGCTGTGGGATAATTTATCTTTATTTGTAGAAACAGCATTTTTATTTTTTCTTTCCTAACCTTATTTTTATGTATTTTTTTACTCTAATCTGCATAATGGCATATTTTATAGCCCTTACAAACCTTAACCCTTTAGGATAATTTAGTATAAATGTTTATGCTTCCGGTTATTACTAATCCCACATGAATTAAAGCATGTTCGGAGCTATAACAAACATAGCAACTCATGTCCTCTTTTGTTTGGCGTGTTTAACGTTAGCAGCAGTGTTTCATTGATTTTTTTTTTCTATAACTCTTAATGCATAGCATTTGTGGGCTAATGAGAATGCAATGATAATCACCATCATGGAAATGAAAATGATGTTCTACTCCAAAATCTCTTTTCAGAAAACTGGAGATGTAAAAAGACCTCGGGGCTTAGAGGGTAGGTGTTCTGATGATTGCAGGGCTTCATTTGATCTGAGAAGGACTCAACCTGCTTTTCCCGAAATATTCAGTGTGGCAGGTTTAGGGTTTAGAGTTTAGAGTGACTTATTTATCAGATATTTTTAGTGGTGGATTCCAGCTGCCAACCTGTAAGCATGTTTGCTTCTTACAATAAGAGAAGGCATTTTCTTGCCTCCGTGTATGGCAGACTTTCTTTCTTTGTGACCTCGGCCCTAATCCTGACTCCTGTGTTCCCTCCTGGATTTTACACACCGTCTTAGTTTCAGTTACTTGGGCCGTCTTGCTTGGTAATCTTTCACTATTAATAGGATTGTGCTTCCCTGCTTTGTGCTTTTGAAATATTAAAGATCCCAATTTCAGTGTGTGTCACTGTATGCAGTGTTCTATAGTTTATCGTCTTGCTCGTTGTTTGTGGGTTTTTTTTTTTTTTTACAGTGAGTTCATGTGCCCTTGCCTTTATTCTCATGTTTCTTTTCTTTTCTTTTCTTTTCTTTTCTTTTCTTTTCTTTTCTTTTCTTTTCTTTTCTTTTCCTTTTCCTTTCTTTTCTTTTTTGATGGGATACAGCAAGGAAATAACTATTACTCTATCGAGGACAACAGGACAAATGCTTTTTGAAAGAAGGAGGCATGACAGTGCTAGAGTAAATTAATATTTTACAGCATTTGCATCACATTTGACTGTTCTGTGTACTTCAGCAGAATGGGAGCAGACTGTAATTTGGACTCTATCAAGCCTTATCTGCCAGGCGATATGTAAACAGGGCCTTGTGTACACACAAATCCATGTACAAGCAAACCCAAGTCCCCAGCACTTGGAGCTTCTGGGAAAGTGATTATTAAGTATTTTGAAGCTTCCTTTGAAACGTTACCAGATAAAAATCAAAACTTCCCTTGTCCTTAAAATAAATGCCGTGTCAAGATGAAATAGAATTTTATGAACTCCATTTGAACTTGGTCACTGTTTGTAAACCAACAGCCTTTTTGGTGAAAAGATAGTGACTTATTTTCTTTTTGTAAGGGTATGGAATATTCCACTTAGCTTTTCTCTCTGCATGTGGATTACACACAGGGAAACCAAAGACCAATAAAGACTACTTCTTTTGCAGAGCAGACCCAAGCACGTACTAGATGCTTAAATACATTGATGGTGAATGGATTCGTTAGAAGGAAGAATACTTTGGCTACTATTCATTACTTTGCAAAGTGCTGGAAAGAAATGGAAGTTATTTTCCCTTCCAGCTGGGCCGTGCTCTTAAAAATAGCGAGTGTGTATGGTTGAAAATAATTATGACTACTGAGATGAGTTGCCATGTACCCAAGGATAATTGGCTTCCTTACCTGTTTACAGATTATTCACGTTGGAGATCATATCCCTGTTCCAGAATAGTTTCTTTCTGACACCCAATATAATTCTGGGCCTTCTCCTTCCTACTGTTACCTGGCGAGAGCTTAGGAAACCCAAACTAAATTTAAAATCAGCCTAAACACACACGCAGCTCAGCTCCAGTGGATCTGACTGAAAACCAGTTCAGCATTCACTTAGTTGACTGATTTTTTTTTTTTTTAAATCCCAACAGCATGGCTGATTCTTTTGGTGTAATCTGGTCGCTAATTGAGTCTCACCAGCACCTAAGTAAATAATTTTAATGACTAAGGATAAAAACGTGTGCGAGCAGATCAGGCCCTCTACTTCTGTTTCTGTGCACACATCCTTAATTCACAAAACTATCTCACAAGCACCAAGAAGTCATTCATTTCTTCTTTCGTTTATCCATTCATACATTCATCATATAGTGAGTGACTTAGATTGACTCTTGGGGTAAATTGAAAGTGAAGACAATGTCTGTTCAACAAATTTAAAATTTTGACTGGCAGGACACGGATCTCAGTTGGTATGAGTGCTTGTCTACCATTCACAAAAAGTGATGCCCCAGCACTGCATAAACTGGACATGGTGGGCTATGCCTGTGTTCCCAGTGCTTGGGAGTTGGAGGCAGGAAGATCTGAAGTTCAGGGTCATCCTCAGCAACATAGCAAATTTGAGGTCAGCCTGGGCTACATGAGACCTTTTCTCATAATCAGACCTTGTTTCCTTCTTCATTTGATTTTCCACTCACCTTTGCACTAGTGTGCTAATAACTATATTCTGTCACGATTGTCTTTCAAGTTGCATGTGGATAGACAGTGTATACTAGATTAAAATTAGGCTTTTGGCCCAATTGCTATCCAGTCCATTCCCATTCCTACCTGATACTGTTTGTGATGACTGGCTCGTGGTTACTTATTGGGAGCCTGAGGAAATGACAGGAGCTATCTCAAACATGGAGACCAGGGTTTTCATTTGACTGAAGGGATGGCCTAGATTTCATATGTTGGCTCCCCTGAGCCCTGCAGAATAAAACCAAACCTGTTCTGCTGAATTGATTGCGGTCTGTGTAACTCTTCTATAATAAAATTCAAAAGGTGCTGTTCTTAAGATTTGTATTTCAGTGCAGGTATCCTAAGATAGACCTTTGTTGAAAGCGATTTATTCTTTTGTTTGTTTGTTTGTTTGTTTCTCTCTTTGTTTTTGGTCTTTCATCTTGGATTTCTTCTGCACTTCCTGGACCATGGTAGAAGCATCCTGCACTGTGCAACAAGTCACGAGGGCGGTCCTTTCAAGCTGCAAATCTGTCTGTCATCCCTATCCAACAGTCTCTTCCTCCACTCCCTCCGCAGGGAAGGGCGTCACATGTCAGGTGAGAGTTTTACAACATTTTCTGTTTTCCATCTGAGGATAAAGTCTGACTTGGGATGGTTGCTCACCAGCTGTGTACTCTGTTAACTGTGAAATATAATTTTCTTTGAAACTATAGTGTATGGAAAATTGCTCAAGTGTGTGTGTGTGTGTGTATGTGTGTGTGTGTGTTTCTGTGTTGTTAAACTTGGGTGAAACCATCTATAGTTATGGTCTACTTGGTTTGGGAAGAAATCTGCATTGAATTTGTATCAATGATTACTGCCTGGGGCTTGCCCTTGATCATTTTAGTTGTCCCTTTTCCTTGAGTTGGTTAAGAACACTAAACTGCCAGCTGCCCTGAGTGTCAGTCCTCACATTTTAGGTTCTTACTACAGAAAGCTACATTTTCAGGGAAACAGAGAACTGTTTGTTGGGTCAGAGGCAAGCAAGAGTTGTTGAGTCTTGAGTTTCTTTGTGTCTGTTTGGATTTTACAACTTCCTGATTTCCTCACATACAGTAAATTTTTCTGGCTGAGAGAGTCTTGAAACAGTGTGTAAGCAAGGACTGTTGACTCATGGTTCTCTGTTAAAGAGCAGACAGGAGGTCTCTGCCCTTCTGTGAAATCCGGAGAGAATGAAATTCATCCAGAACATGGGGCTGGAAGGTCTTGGGCACATTGGTGTACACAACCAAGGGGGGTTGTGAAATAGAAAATAGGAAATCGATTTCCTCTGCCTTGAGAGCAGTTTTACTTGAAGTGATGAAGCCAGGCAAGACCAGAAGTTCGAAAGGCTGCCTGGGCAACAGGCTCACTTAGAGACTTTCAGACAGAATCTGGAGCTCCACCCTAGACCTCCTGAATCTGAATGTTCCCTTCTGATCCCCTGGAATGAAGGAAGTGTTTCTGGAATGTTCCTTTCTTGGTAAGAAGCAGAAGGTCCTCTTACCAAACCACATTTCGCCAAATTGAGGATTTCAAAACCCACTCATCAAAAGGTAGATACTGGCATTACCAAAAATGTTCATTTAAAAAAACAATCCAGTGGAGCCGAGCATAGTGGGCATGTCTGTAATCTTAACACGTGATAGAAAGAGCTGAGGAAGAAGGACCTTAGGGTTTGAGGCTCTCTTGACTTGCTTAGTGAGTTCTACAGTAGCTTGGGATATAACCTGAGACCCTGTCTCAAAAAGTCAAACCAAATAAAACTCCCAAGCAAATTCACCAGGTTTCTGTGTTGACACCCCAGAACCAGTTTATTTTAAGCCAAGCATGAACTCCATGGCCTCTGAGATAAGAGCCCGAAGCTCTGTCACTTGCCCGAGTGTCTAGACTTCAAACCTCCGGATGCTACCCCAGTCATGCTTGTTTAATCCCAGTCATGCCTCAGTTTCTCCATACAAAATGGGGACAACAGAGGGCTCCTGTGAGGATGGAATGGGAGAAAAAAAAAAAGCACATGTGTGGTTTAAATCTGCCTGGCATATGGCTTATGGCCCATTCACATAAGCTATCACTGTTAGCACATAGCTTATCTCTAGACAGGGTGATTATAATGGTTTTGTTGTCCAGTAGTTGTTCCTGGATCGTGCATGACTAGAAACAAGTAAATATTCCTAGACCTTGGTCTTTGGACCAACCCTGTAGGTATTTGTGGTTCTCCAAAGCCAATAAGGGTTCTATCTATTGTTTTCTGAAGTTTAAATCTGAACTTATGTTAACTTTTCTGTGGTAGGATGCATTTTTTTTTGCATTGTAGTAAGATAGACTGACAGTGAATAGCAATGCATACATGGAGTTATTTGCAGGTTGAATATATTTAAAAAGAGGCATGACTAACAGTTATTTAGAAATCTTAGAAAGAATAGCTAGAAGGCTAGCAATAGAGCTCAATGGGAAGGCACTTGCCTAGCGTGTGTGAAGCTCTTGATTCAATTCCCAGGACAGAAGGAAAGGAAGAAAGAATCTAAGAAACCTCTGTGGGGCAAAGCAGAGAGGGAGCGAGTTAGCATGCCGCCAGCCAGCATCGTATTCTTTTGAGTTATGCAAATGATTTCTTTATATTTTATTGATTGTGTATTTGAGAAGTTCCCCTTTAAATCAGTGGTTTCCAATTTGTTGGTCATGACCCCCTTTAGGGGTAGAATGATCTTGTCACACGGGTGGCCTAAGGCCATAGGAAAACACAGATATTTACATTACGATCAATTCATAGTGGTAGCAAAACTTTAGTTATGAAGTAGGAACTGGTGTGGAGGTCACCACACCAAGAGGAACTGTGTTAGAGGGTCGGAGCATCAGGAAGACTGAGAACCACTCTTGTACACAGAAGCAGAGCGATGTTTAGTTACTGCAAGGTGATGCCTCTTAGGATCTGCAGGTGTCCACTGACGGGCAGGGTGGGGTGTCTGACTGTTGCTCTCCTCGTTCAGGGGAACCCATTTTGCCAGGCAGGAGATCCTCACAGTGAAGTCTTAGGAGATATGGTTCGGGTGCATATGGGGTGAGGTGTTCTTTTCTTTTTAAAACCTGTGGTATTTGAAGAGAGTCATTATCTATCACAAGGTATCTCAAGAATTTTCCTGTGAACAAGACAGGCAGCCAGGAGTCTTATCTTGGGCAGCACAGCCTGCTTATTGAGGTGCAGGGGTTTCTAGCCTCATAAACAAGGTAAGTGTCATGTGGATATTCAAGGTCTGACTGACAAAATAGTGCAGTGTCACCTTGAACATTAGGCCGTTGATGTTTTCTCTGATTGCGTTGAAAAGAAACATATATGCATTATCTAAACATCTTGCATACATAATGACCTCACTATGGTCCGCATAGTTGATGGCTGTATGTGGGCAGGGAGAGAGTATCCTGTTGCATTCTGATTATATTCAAGTTATTCTTTTTAAATGAGAGTCTGGATTATTATTTCTGGCTCTTGTTATTTTATGAATATGATACAGCTAAGCCAGTTATGACCTAAGTTCTTCACAGCTAGTGTCTATATAAAGAACTGATTCATTCATATATTCGCTGTGTATTTTCTTTTCAACTACTTCATGGTGCTCTGGACATGAGAGTGAGCAAGAGCTAGCGGAGATTAGCCGTTCTTCGTGACCAGGCGAGAGAAAGAAGGAATACACAGAAATAGCTAACAATGCCGAGAGGTTGGGTTGTGCTTACTAGGGGGTACATTCTGACCCGGAAGGAATTCAGAAAGGTAGTGGGAGTTCAGGAAAGACTGTGAGGAGGAGGAGGATCACGTGACTTGGTCTCTGAAGGCTGGATTGCACTTCTGTGGGAAGAGATGGAGAGAGGCAGAGGAAAGTCTTCCAAGTGGCTGGGTCAACAGGCAAACGTCTGCTTGTATGTAGGACGTAGGCTAGACAACTGTGGCTGAAAGTGGGGTGCTCGGAGTTTCAGAAGTCAGGGAGACTGGTCGGGGTATGGGACTAGTGGAGAGGTCAGTCCAAAAAGCATTCTGGAAGCATCCCTGGCATAGAAAGGGTTTTGAACTTGGCCTCTGGGGTCTTCTGCCTGGTGGAGGGGTGTTCACACTGAGGACTTGACTGAATCTAAGGACGCTGGCGCTGGTGTTGAATGCAGAGGGAGAAGGTAAGAGGCAGTGAGGAGCGGAGCTTGAAGGCTTGCATGACCCAGTCTTTGTTTGCCAGTTCTTCATAAGCTGGGGTGGCAAAGGGGGACTGGGTTGATGTAGGGGTGAATCATGGAGGTGGGGATCTCTTCTGTTAGAGCTCCAGAACCCTAGAAATTCTGTGTTCCACTCAGTGTCATGGAGTCTTGATGAAACAGTTATTCCTTTATAAAATAGATACAGGAGCTAATTTTAGCTAGCTCTAATACACCCGTGTATGAAAATGAATGCTGGCTTTTGACGCTCAGCCCGTGCGGTGTCTCTTTTCACTTAAAACAAATACCGTTCGTACTTTCCTCCAAGCTGTTTTCTGAAGACTTCCGAAGGGTGCCCCTGTACCTATTAGCAAGAATCCCAACATTTCTTTGATCTTTTCCACCGTTGATTGACTCTTCTCATGTGACAGGTGTGAATCTCATTGTGTCAGCCACTTAACAACTTAGCCATTGTTCATTTGTGGCCATCCAGTTACTCTATTTCTGATAAATCTTTTAATGTGTAGGAATATATATTTGTGTGTGTGTGTGTGTGTGTGTGTGTGTGTGTATGAATCTTTATGTATGAAAAGCCAACCATACCAGACACAGCTCTTTAAAAAATTGGCTTCTCACTTAATATCCTATAGAAGATAAAAAATATAGATAAAGAAATACAGAATGGAGCTGAGCATGATTGTATATTCTGTAATTGTAGCACTTAGGATCTGGACTCAGGCAGGTTGGGAGTTCAAGGCCAGCCTCAGCTCCACAGTAAGCTTAAGCAAGCTTAGGCTACTTAAGACACTGTTGAAATAAATATCATTGTTAAGCCTTGTTTCTTGGGGGAAAGTTAGTCTGAGAGTCCATGACACACAGTGCAGGGAATGAGCGGTCTATTTACATGAACTTTAGGGAAAGCCTGAAGATTGTTTAATTTTTTTTAATTTTGTTTTGTTTTTATTTGAGTTGTTTACACGAGCTCTTCGTATTGCCCTCAAGTGGCTAAGAACGAAAATATTAAATACAAAACTAACAACATTAAAAACAAGGAGTTCTGTGCATGTCTATTCGTGTGCTGAGATGTACATGTATGGTTGTGTTGTGTAGAGGCTAGCTATCAATGTCAGTTGTCTTTCCTCAGTTGTCATTGTCTTGTTCATTGAGGCAGGGACTTTCACTGATCGGTGAGGCTGGCAGGTCGGTGAGCCCCGGGGTTCCTTCTGTCGCTGCCTCCACAGTGTTGGGATTACAAGGGTGTGCCACAGCACCCGGCTTTTCCACACTGGTTCTGGTGACTCCATGCACTTGCAGCTGAGTGCTTTACTAAGTGAGCTGTCTCCTCGTCCTGCCTGGAAACCTCTGATGAGCATCCAGTGTGCAAGATGAGACCCTAAAG